ATACTTACAGCATTCTTCAATGAACTAGAGCAATAGTTCTAAAATTCATATGAAATACAAAAGACCCCCAAATAGCCAAAGCAATCCTGAGAAGGAAGAATAAAGCAGGGTGAATTATGCTCCCTGACTTCAAGCTCTACTACAAAGCCACAGTAATCAAGACAATTTGGTACTGGCACAAGAACAGACCCATCAACAAGTGGAACAAAATAGAGAGCCAAGATATAAACCCAAGCATATATGGTCAATTAATAGACGACAAAGGAACCATGGAAATACAATGGGAAAATTACAGCCTCTTCAATAGTTGGTGTTGGCAAAACTGGACTGCTACATGTAAGAGAATGAAACTAGATCATTGTCCAACCCCATACACAAAAGTAAACTCGAAATGGATGAAAGACCTGAATGTAAGCCATGAAACCATAAAACTCTTTGAAAAAAGTATAGGCAAAAATCTCTTGGACAGAAACATGAGCAACTTTTTCATAAACATATCTTCCTGGGCAAGGGAAACAAAAGCATAAATGAACAAGTGGGACTATATCAAACTAAAAAGCTTCTGTACAGCAAAGGACACCATCAGTAGAACAAAAAGACATCCTACAGTATGGGAGAATATATTCATAAATGACATATCTGATACGGGGTTGGCATCCAAATTATATAAAGAGCTCACCCACCTCAACAAACAAAAAGCAAATAAGCCAATTAAAAAATGATCAGAGGATCTGAACAGACACTTCTCCAAAGAAGAAATTCAGATGGCCAATAAGCACATGGAAAGATGCTCCACATCACTAATCATCAGAGAAATGCAAATTAAAACCACAATAAGATATCACCTCACACACCAGTTAGGATGGCCAACATCCAAAAGGCAAACAACAACAAATGTTGGCGAAGATGTGGAGAAAGGGGAACTCTCCTACACTGCTGGTGGGAATGTAAACAAGTTCAACCATTGTGGAAAGCAGTATGGAGGTTCCTCATACAACTCAAAACAGAAATAACATTTGACCCAGGAATTCCACTCCTAGAAATTTACCCTAAGAATGCAGCAACCCAGTTTGAAAAAAGACATATGCACCCCTATGTTTATCACAGCACTATTTATAATAGCCAATAAATGGAGGCAACCTAAGTGTCCATCAGTAGATGAATGGATGAAGAAAATGTGGAACATATACACAATGGAATATTATTCAGCCATAAGAAGAAAACAAATCCTACCATTTGCAACAACATGGATGGAGCTAGAGGGTATTATGCTCAGTGAAATAAGCCAGGTGGAGAAAGACAGTATCAAATGATTTCACTCATCTGTGGAGTATAAGAACAAAGGAAAACTGAAGGAACAAAACAGCAGCAGAATCACAGAACCCAAGAATGGACTAACAATTACCAAAGGGAAAGGGACTGCAGAGCATGGGTGGGAAGGGAGGGATAAGGGGAAAAAGGGGCATTATGATTAGCACACATAATGTATTGGGGGGGTGGGGCACTGGAAATGCAGTATATACAGAGAGGACAATTAATGATTCTATAGCACCTTATTACACTGATGGACAGTGACTGTAATGGGATATGTGGAGGGGAATTGATAATAGGGGGAGTCTAGTAACCATAATGTTGTTCAAGTAATTGTACATTAATGATATTTTTAAAAAAAAGCAGAAACAAATGCTCATCAATTGATGAATGGATAAACAAAATGTACTCCAGCCACACAGTGCAATATTATTCAGCCATAATAAGAAGTGAAGAGCTAATATATGCTAATACATGGATGAGTCCTGAAAACATTACACTAAGTGAAAGAAGCCAGTCACAAAAGATATTGCATATATGTTTGTGTGTGTGTATGTATCTATCTATTACTTTTTATGAAGTGTTCAGAATAAACAAATCCATAGAAGCAGAACATAGATTAGTGGTTGCTTCAGGGTGGGATGGGAACATAGAGGGTCATACCTAAAGGCTACAGGGTATCTTTTTGAGGTTCTAAATGTTCTAAAATAACTGTGGTAATGTTGGCACATATCTGTGAACACACTAAAACCACTTTAAGTGGGTGAATTGTATGTTACATGAATTCTATCTCAGTCTCAATGGTGCTGTCAAAAAAATGAAATGGAAAGAAGATCCCATCTCCCTTCAAAAAGTTCTAGGAAGACTGTAGAAAGCACTGGCATTTCATGGGCCACAGGGTCATAGGAGCACAAGTTTCAAGGCAGGATATGAGCAACGGCACCTAAAGTTAAAAGGGGAAACAGAGAGTAGGCGAAGGGACTACTATGAATATGTGTGCTAAAGTAGTACGGAGAAGAGAGAGGAAGTAGAAGTGAAAATGCCAAGATAGAATTATCTAGAGAAAGAACAGAAACAAAACAGGGGCAGATCAAGATGGTATCATTAGCATGGTGGCTATGAGTAACTGGGCACTCATTGCCAGACCCTACACAGAGGGCTTCAAGCATCCATCCTTATCTTTCAACCAGAACTGCAAGGGAGGTTCTGCCAGTCTGGATTTATAGATGGGAAGCAAAGCCAAAGAGGTTAAGTGTTGTAGTTATGCTTGGTTAAGTGCCTATCTTTTAGAAATATAAACAAAAGGACTTGGAAATAATTGATAGGATTTCTTGAATTTGCTTTGAAATAATGCAGTGGGAAGTGCCATTAGGTGATACGGATGAAACTCAACTAGTCATGTTGACAATTGTTAAAGATGGGACAAATGTACATTCTCTCTAATTCTAAGTTTAAATTTTTTCCATAAGAATATATTTCCTGAGTAAAAGCTAAAAAAAAAACCCAAAAACCCAAAGTTTCAACATTTGTAGTATCTGTCCATGTGTCCCTAAGTTACCTCTCTGATTTCCTTGTCTATCACCTCTATACACCTACACTTCTATACCCCTGTGCATCCCTGCGCCCTTCTCTTTCCCTCCCTATCTTTGTTCAAATTAGCCTTCAGACTGAGACTTTCACTCTTTTGAAAGCTGCGTCCCTACAGGTATGCACTACCCTCACTTACTGCCCTATTTTTTTCCATAGCACTCATCTTCAGACAGCTTCCCCATCATCATCAGTTCAAAAGTAACACTTACATGGTGTCGTGCCAATGGGTTTCAGCCCCGGCAAGTTCGCTGAATTCACTGTGACCACAGAAACTGACAGCAAAACGTTCTGTGGGGTGAAAGGGTTCATTACCTGGCTTGTTCTCCCGACCATAGGTCGAGCACTAGCGTCTCTGCCTCCCCCCAGAGCCCTGGGCCTAGCTCTCTCCATGTAGTGCAATAATAGCTTATTGCCTAAAGGTGTGGAAGCAGTAGCCTAGCAACAGGACAGTTACATCATCAGCTGGTGGTTTAAATTCAGTGAGGATCCTGGCCATAGGAACTCCAACTTCCCCACATATGGCAATGACTATGTGCCTGGCACTGTTATCAATTTTCTATGCACACACACACACACACACACACAGATACTGCTAACAAAAATTGAGGTAGATCACACCCAGGCAGTCTTGCTCTCAAGCCCGTACTCTGACCAACAACAGCACAGGGGTGAAGGGAAGACCTTGAAATCCATGGATCCAACATCTCCCCAGAATATCAAAATACACCAAGCACTGAGTGACTGCTGTGAACTCCCTCAGCCCAAATTTCTACAGACATCAAGAGTCTAAGCCAAGAGAGAGCGCCAAACAAACAAATAAAAGCAGGTTTTATATAGGGCAGGGGACAGTACAAATAACTTGACAATTGAGCTATATTGTTTAAAATACCTTTAAAATATGCGTATACGAAAGTTGGTATTTGAATTTCATATTTGAAGTGGTCATCCAAATAAACCAAGAACAATTTCCAAATAAAGAAAGACAGAATAGGGAAGTACCTTACAACTATTTTCAGGGATGAGTTGTTTTCTGACCCCACGATAGCTTGTTGGCATTTAAAAAAAAACGCAAGAAAAACCCCTCTATCCCCCAATCTTCATCAGCTAAAATCAAGTAAAGATAAGTGCCTGCTGGCTGTGATCGCTTTTCAATGTTAGTTGCCAAAAAACCGTTGAGGTCTAATTTGCATTTATCTCTTACAGTAAAGCTAGGGATCCAAGTATACAAAACTAAAGTATTTAAAACAAAACAAAACAAATTTCAAACACAATTGTTGGTCAGATCACACTGTGTGGTTTAGTTCAGCTTCTGCCCATTTGTCACGCTCAGCCTACCTTTACAGATGGCAAAGACACTTGACTCTGAAACTTCCTCTTACATGCTGAGAAGCATTTTTCTATCACAGTTCACACTTCATGTCCAGTGACAAATAAGACATTCATTCAATACAGGATTGTTATCACTATTTTGTGGATGAGGCCCACAGAGAGGATGCACCCCGAAGCCCACGCAGCGATTGGATGGCCGCTGCCCAGCCAGCACCCTGTAACCTTGCCCCAGCTCCTTAGGCTTACTTACCCCGGCCCAACGCCGCCTGCACGTGGGTGGTAAAACAGTGCAGAAGTTAAGAAAAGAATCCACGAGTCCTAGTCAAATATAATTTTATGCCAATCTGAGAGATTATTACTCACTCACTAGCTATGTGACTGAGGGGAAGGCATTTACCCTCTCTGTGATTCAGTTTCTTTATAGATTTTTGTGAGACCTAAAAGAATTATAACATGCAAATCTCAGTCTGGCACATAATATTCTATCAAAGTCAGCCTTATTATCACCATCAGTGTTATAAAGATTTACAGTTTGGAATAAGACAGCACAATTAAGGAGACCTAGTTTTATTTCCCAACCTCTTAACTGAGTCATCTTTCAACTCCTGTTAATTAAAATGAAAAAAAAAAGTCAGAGGTTTTTTTCAGTATGAAAAGATACAGTATGACCCACGGACACTATATTGCTCATGTTTATAATCTCTGGAAAGCTGGATATATTTATCTAAAAAGAACTGCTGAAATTTTAACAGTAACACAACCAACCAAGTTGCTTTCCATATTAGTAATATGAATTTCTAATTTAGTGACAAGGGAAACTATTCAAATTTGTCTTTGCTATTGTGTGCCTTCAGATGAGTGAATATGTGTTAGCAAACAATGTACTCTTTCTTTAGCTCTTATCTTCCTCTCAAGATCGTTCAAATTAAAATGCTTTTATCCTTGGCTCTGACAGAATTTTCCCTGTGTCAGAAAACAAGAACTGTGTCAGAAAGCTCACCATGTTTTCGGAGTTTAATAAGTCTCATGAAGAACACGTCTAATCAAATCAAACCCCCTGAGGCCACCAGACTCAGAGGCCACCAGACTCTAAATTTGCATCGACTTTCCTAGCACTTCCCACACTCTGTACAGGCCCTAAAGAAGTTAATGAAAAAGGCAAAGTTTGTGTCCCTTGATGTCACACTGTGACGAGCATTTGCAGGCTGGTAGTATAGTGAATAGGAATTGCACCAAGAGACTGGGAAGCAGACACGCCCTGTGGACAGGTAATCAGGCTTCACTACCGTGAAGTTGTTGCCTCAACTCTGCTCCAGACAAGGTTGTTTTGGCAGCCTGAGGGTGTGGTGGGCAGCCATGTGGGACACCTTAATTTGTAGAAACCATATTTCACACTTTTCAAAATTCTCTTCCCCCCCCCCCCACTAGTTATCTTCCAAACCAGTCAATAAAGCAGGGCAGGAGTATCCTCCCACTTCTCACACAAGCAAACTGAAGTTCAAGGAGCTTTGCTGCCCTGTCAAGAAGACCTCGCTGCTACTCGGCCTTAGGGAATAAGAAACGCAAGGTTGCCCACCCATGGATTCTCCAATTCAAAGATCCTTCCAGATTCCACTGTAATAACACAGCAAGGGCAGCTCTTGAATATACCCTTTCCTTTGAGTCTTAATTCCCATCTAGGGCTAAATAACCCCCCTTTGAAGGTTCTGCACATTCCCCAAGCTGACAGCACCGGTTTCGCAGGAGGTGGGTTAGGGCATCCTCTGGCGCCAGTGGTGGGGGTGAAACGCGGCAATCCCGCCGCCGGCGTTGCTCTCTCAGCAGGTGGAGTTCACGTGCGGCGCGGACCACACAATACTCCGCGCTGTCTTGCTCTAACCAGTTCGGTTAAGAAAAGGCTTGCTTTTTGTCAAGAAATACCATAGGTTTGGGTGTATTGGGAAGGGGTTCTCCGGGGGTTTTCGCCTTCTGTGTGTCCACTTGCGGGGTACCGAGAAAAGCCCCCGAGTCCGATACACAGCACCTGGGACCATGCAGGGCGCAGGCTTTAGGCTCACTGCGAGTCGCGGTGCGCCAAAGTGGGTTGAGGTCCCACTCTGAGCACCAGGTCATTTACCCCAACTATTTGCAAATCAGCTCCACCTAAATCCGCCACCGCTGCGGAGCAGTCCCTTCCCACGTTCTCCAAAGGGCCTCAGCACTGCCGGACTACCCCGGGATGACCCGGGGCTCCGCGCCGCTCACCAGCCGCCCCGCCGCCTCCCCCTGCCTCGCGCGCCCCTCGCGCTCCCGCCCCGCCCGGCCGGCTCACCGCGGCGCGCCAGGTGAGCCAGCTGGTCGCCTCCTCGCTCGCATGCCTCGGAGCAGCCTTGCAAGATCACCGCGCTCCGCAGCGGCCGAGAGGGACGGAGGAGGGGGAAGCGGCTTCCTGACGCCGCCCTGCTACCCTCCACCCCCACCGAGGCCCTGGCGGCCGCGCAACCCGAGAAGCAACCCGGGGAAGCGAGGCGCCACTGCCGGGCTTGCTGCTGGCGGGCGGACTCGGGGGACGCAAGCTGGAAGGAACCTGGGGCCCCGCGGTCTTCCCACCGCCACCACTGCCTACGCCCTGGGCCACGCCGGCTGCGGACAGCCAGGAGCCGCTGCGCTCGCCTCTCCTGGTGTCCCTCTCAAAATCACGCCCTGCCCTCCATTGAGGGCCCGGACCAATCTCTGCTTTCAGAGTTGAAGTAAGGAGATAAACAGACCTGGCGGAGAGGACTTCCCACCCCCAGCGCCCCAGGCTGCAGTATTAAGCATTCAGTACAACTGCCTGAAACGCAGACTGAGCCTCCAGACTAATCTATCTACACTGAAATCGATGGGCCCAGCGGGAACCTGCAATTTCCCAAGAGCGGGCGACGCTTCTCTCATACTTCAGCTGGTTACTCCACGAGGATCCCCACTCCGAGGACTTCAGGTTCAGCATTTCTCCAAACTAATGGTCACCTTGTCCTCCGGCAGCGAGGGTTTGGAATCCCATCCACGCAGCACCGAGGACTGCAACCAGATCGAGGTGGATGCTGGGGAGAAGCTGCCAACCAATACAGAAAGTTGTCACAAATAGAAACCTAAGCCCACACTGTAAGTAGGGCTAAGCGCATGTCCTCCCTCCGACGCTAGGGAGCTTCAGCAGCACACTAACTTCTCATGGGGAAACAGTCTCCGAGTTACCTGCCCCATAACAAAATGCAGGCGAGCCAGCCCTGTCCTGCTTAGAAGAGTCCCTTCTGCTGGGTAAAACCAACCACATAGCCCTCCCCTTGGTTTCTGGGCTTTGTCCTTTGTCATTTCCAGGTTATGGAACGATGTCACAGGTACTTGGATCTTTTTTTGCTGTTGTCTTTCTGGAGCAAACCCCTCCTGGGCACAGCCTGGCATCAAGTGCTTGAGGGGCAGTGCCAAGTTGTGGCTTGCTTCTTCAGATGAAGACCTTAGGAACCATTATCTAAAAATCAAGTGAATACTAGCATGGTTTCATTGAGGGCAGCCTGTTTGAAGCTTAGACCAGCTCAGACCTGAAAACTCTGAACGTTTGGGGCTCTGTCAAAGGAATCAGGTCCACTGAAGATCGACTGGGCAGGGCTTATGTTTAACTAAATTAGAAAGAAAAGGTTGTGGGGTGTGTGCTACAGTTTGTCACTACCTGTTATCAGGTACTTTTCCTAATTATTTTAAGTAGTCGTATCAGTATCCATGAGAATAACAAGTCATTTATTTCCATTTCACAGAGCAGGTTAAGTTACTTGTCCAAGGTCACACAGCTAGTAAGTAGCACGGTCAGGCTTGGAAGGTGGATGTATCTAACACCAAACCTTACTTACAGTTTCTCCCATGCCACCAGCAAGACCCAGAAGAATAAAGAAATTCAGGGGCCAAGTAAGAGCCTTTTCCATGAATATTTAAAAGAGGAGATAAATCAGAAGGAAGCTAAGAGGGAAAAAAATCTTAAAACAAGAACAAATGCCATGCAAAGTAAATTAGTGGGTCTACTAGTCAAAAAAAAAAAAAACAGAAAAGCACACTGTACTATGTGGTAGACTGGACATAGAGGCAAAAAAACCAAAAGCATTCTTGGAGAGACTAGGAGATTTTAGACCATAAGGTAAGGTTTGGTCAGTTGCCTCTGAAGCCACTTCAAAATCATCTTTACCAATTGGTAAATAGGCTGGTCTCTGTGCCATTGTGTAGGGCATCCTATTCATTTGAATATAAACATTCAACATCTAATCACAGATAAAGGAGACCCACAGTCTGGAAGAGAATTCTAGAACTAAGAAAGTTTAAGGGCAGATTTTTCAAGTTAGGAACACTCACTGAAAATCTGTTCTGTCCCCTTGGGATCTGGAAGTAGAATTTCCCAAGCCCTAAATGCTGAGGGATGAGCTTTCCAAGACTGCCTAATCAATTGGTCAGTTCTGGGAAAGTCGCTGATAACTGCAAACCAAGAACCATGCAGGAAAAGCAGAGGCTGGCTTTGTTTTATTTTTCATGGGAAAGGTCATCTTCCAGGTCAGAGTGCCCTCCAAGCCCTGGGTCTCTAGGGCAGTGAGTGTCAGGAAGAACTCACCACTTCAGCTAGCCGGGCTCAGGCCCAGCACCCAGTGGTCACACATGCACAAAGTCCCACTGTGGCAGGACAGCCTCGTAGGAGACTGGAAACCTGGCAGCAGCTACCCAAACCCAGCCAAGCTGCTCAAGAAGTAATTTGTGCTATTGTATAGATGCAACCCTGTTTGTGCTGACAAGAGTCAACAAAGGGGAAATCAGTCTCTGTATAAAAGAGGAAGGAAATGAGATGAGATGAACTGCATAATGAGCTAGGAGGAGGAGCCTAATGGCATCATCCCTGCATGGATGTCCAGGGACAGAGGAGTGGTCCTGGCAGGCAGGGAAGCCGGGATGTGCCTCAGGCTGTAACAGACCCAAGGGAACTGCATTTGGCTTGTCTCAGTTTCTTTTCCTTCCTTCTGTCTGAAACATCCGCAGCTACAAAAGGACACATTTGAATGATTCCACTTATATGAGGAACCTAGAATAGGCAAATTCAAGGAGACAGAAAATAGAATAAAGGTCACCAGGGGCTGGGGGAGAGGAAATGGGGAGTTACTGTTTCATAGGTACAGAGTTTCTATTTGAGATGATGAGAAAGTTCTGGAAATGGATAGTGGTGATGGTTGCCCATTATTCAAATGTACGTAATGCCACTGAATTGTATATTTTAAAATGGGTAAAATAGTACATTTTATGTTATGTGTATTTTCCATAATAAAGTATACATATATGTGAATATACATTCATGTAGGTATGTGTTTAAAGTCTATTATCATGATGTAATACTTCTTTAGAGTAAAAGCCCAAGTGAAAGCAATATGCTAAGAGAGAGCTCCTACCCCTGGAAATTCTTATCTGGAATTTTAACAAATCTTGCCCTATTTTGCTTTCCTCTGGGGGTTTCAGAGCCCACCTTTTGGGCTGTTACACTCCCTCATTTGGAAGGAAGACTAGCCCAGCCATTGTGCTATTTGCTTCTGCTGGCGATATGTAGCTTGGGGTATGTGGAGCTTATTCAGAGATTCCAAATCCTGAAAAAAGACTCTTTAAGAGAGACTGGGAGTTAAAACAAAAGGATTGTGAACCCAGGTGAAAATACTGTTTGCTTCCAGCCAGGAACATCAGACACAACAACCCTGTAGCTTCAGGCAAAACCTGATCAGCAGGGCCGGCCTGTACCAGCTGAGATGACTGCCTGATGGGCATATGCCCTTGGTGCCCTCCCCCTCTCTCTCTTCACAGTTCCCACTTTTCCTTTTCGAAGATGCCCTTAGCTGGACTAGTAGACCCAGAGCTGCTCCTGTCCTGTGGTCCGTTTTCCTGAGGAAAAATACGGTACACATAAAACTTAGGGTGTCGCATGAGGGCAATGGTGAAGAGTCTCCATTAGAAATACAGTTATTAATTGATTAGTATTGTCTTGCCACGAGATTGTGGATCCAGAAGGACCTTACTCATTTCAGACTTTCTTCCCCTACAATGGCCTCTCGGGACCTAGGCCTGCACTTCGCACATCTCAAGTGTTTCATAAATTTTTTTAACTGCTCACACAGCTTTAGAGTGTGATGAGGATGCCATGCTATAAAAGACAAAGACATTAAGCTAAGATTATCCCATGTTTGGGAACAGTTAATGTGTCCAACATGGCATTTCTTGGTTAACATCCAAAGTGTTTTTTACTGGTATCTTAACCCAATTTTCAGTCACCTCTCTCACTGCTGCCTCAATTGCCTGAAGATCCATAATGGCCCACCAATTGCTCTCGGCACATTCTTCACATTTTCATACCTTTGGACCTCAATCCACTGACCACATTTTATATTTTCCACATCTGCTTCCTAGACCTGACCTGGTACTTCAGTGTTGCCTGCCTGACATGTTATTAGTTTTTGTGGTAACCTTGTGGCCCAGTTTAGACAAGTTCCCAAGTCATTTCCACAAGGAAAGGCTGAAACACCTAAATAAAATCCTGCATGGCTGGTGTGAATTTTCTTCCATAACTCTGGTAGAGAGAAAAAAGTTACCTTATTTTTCTAAACTTTTTTCTAAATCGAATTAAGTCAGTTTGGTATCCCCATTTTAAAAAGTGGCAAGAAAAAGCTGTCACATATTGGGAGGACTTGCTGCCTTCCTAGAATTTCTCAAGACACCACATGCTTATGTAAAATTCAAGGAAATATTTCTGGTCTTTGTTTCATCGTGGCCACTGCAGGGATTCTCATTTTATAAGTATATTAATTTGGGCAGTTTCATTGCTCCAGGCCTCTCTCTGTGTGTGCAAGGATCCTTCACCAGGCTCTTCAGGGTTCGGCCAGTCAGCGCCCACAGGTCGCCCCTTCATGGTGTATCCCCTGCTTGCAGCCCCCCACCAGCCCTCTTCAGGGAGATGAGGGAAAAGTGGTTTCATTCATTTGGATGTTTCTGCAAAGTGATAAGAACAAAACAAGTGAATTTTTTTTCAGTAAATCACCAGCACCAACAGATTATAACAGCATTTTTCAATAAATTATTTTGTCACATTAAGATAAAAAGTTTTAATGTACAGTGCAAAGAATACCAATGCACACTGGTCTCCAGTCTGAACAGAAGTTACATCTCTATCACAGAGGCGGATTCAAGCAACAGCTTTTCTGCACATTCATTTCACCAGCCATTGAAGTCACTAAGCTTGATGGGGTGTTCTGATTTCATGCTTTCCAAGCTATCGTCTATTTAAAAATATATTTTCTGTGTCCATTTGTCTACAGGGAAAGAAGGTGCTAACTAACCATCATGGCCATTTCCACCCATTCTACAAGTCCAAAGTTTCATTTTGCATAGTAAATAGTAATAAATTATCATTGTTGTTTATGTATTAATCTCCAGTGAGTTTGGTCAGATTAAATCACATCCTGAACAGGGAGAATAATGGTTCTCCAGCCATGTCCACATCCTAATCCCCAGAACCTTTAATTATGCTATGTTACATGGCAAGGGGGGATTCCAGCTGCAGATAGGATTAAGGTTGCTAATCAGCTGACCTTGAGATGAGCAGATTATGCTGGACAATGCACATGACCCCATGTAATCACAAGAGTCCTTATCCTTAAAAGAGGGAGGAAGGAGAGTCAGGGCGATGTGATATGACAACAATTCGACCAGCCTTTGCTGGCTCTGAAGACAAAAGGAGGCCATGAACCACAGAATTCAGGCAACCTCTGGAAGCTGTAACAGACAAGGAAAGGGATTCTTCCAGAGATCCTCCAGAAGGAATGCAGCCTGCTGACCATCTGATTTTAGTTGAGACCCACTCCAGACATTTTACCTCCAGAACTGAATAATAAATTTGTATTGCTTTAAGCCACTAAATTCCTAATAATACAAAGCAGCAATAGGAAGGTCTTACAACCATACAATAGGGAACTAGTGCTACTACAGCAATAGGAAACTGGTGCAGACCACAAAAGATCTAGTGATTTTGGTTGCACTGATGAAATGCAGTTTCTGGAGCAGCAATGTAGTATCCTTGCCAAGCAGTTTCCTGCATTCTCCTGGAAATACCTCAGTTTTTTCTTTCTCTGATCATCAAAGTGCTTTGAACATAATACAGGCCTTTAAAAATATCTGCTGAATAAATAAATAAATTTTGGCAAAATATAGTCTGTGCAGCTATGACTGATGTACTGGTAATCTGGAGACTTTTAAGATTAACCATCTTTCTTTCTAACTAGCTGTGAATGAATGCCTCTACTACCAAGTAATTTGTAGTTAAATCACATGGACTTGAAGCAACCAAGAATTTGTGATAATACCCAGCTCTCTTTTCTACTTATAGGGAAAATGTGGATTCAGTTTAAAAATATCGATGCCTAGCGTTAGCCCACCGTAGTAACTTTCCTCATGCAAGAGGAAGCTTCATTCTATTCCAGGCCATGAGGAAGCTCTTTAGGCTGGCTGGTGAAAGAGCTTATGAAATTCTTGTCAACACAGCTGACACCCATATCATGTACAACACTATACACTAGGCCTATTTGTAAAAGGAACGACAAATAGAGAATATCAGTGAATTATTACAACATTGGTCAGCTAAGAAAGGCTCCCAAGAGTCCTGTTGTTGTTCTCTGGTGTTGGAGCTATTGTCAGTGAGTCAAACCAAGTGTAAACAAAACAAAAAAGTCCCTTGAAAAATGCCATCAGTTGAAAGTTTTGAGTCCAGAATCCTCCTGGAAAGAGATGTGCTTCTGGAACTGAGCTGTGTGCAGAGCACTGACCCAGCCATGTGCACATTCTCTGGGCTCCTAGGGGTCAGGAGACCTCTCTCTTCTTTAATGCTCATTGTTCCTAACTGATGCTATATTTCTTTGGCTTTAAAATTGTCCTATTTCAGTTATATGCAAAACAGAGAACAAAAAGAAAGCCTGGCTGGTACATGTTGCTGCACTAAATTGAGCTTGGCTAGAACTTAAGAAGGAAGAGTGAGGAGAGGAAGCTGGAGAGTCTAAAGCCACGTGAAGGAGATGGAGCCTTAGCCCAAAGACAGTGGGTGCTGCTGAAGGGGTCTGGACACTGGGACATGATCAGGTTGGGAGTCTACTGATGTTAGCATTTTCCTTCCTTGTTGATCTAATATTTCCTAAGTTCTCAAGCTTTAACTTGCATAGGAATCGCCTTGAATCTCGATAAAATGCAGAGTCTGATTCAGTAATTCTCAGATGGGGACCCAGATGATGAAGCAAGCACCTAAATGATGCTGGGGCTGCTGAGCCCTGGGCTGCACTGAGTATCAATGGCAGAAACTGAATTGCCTGTGAGCATCTGCCACTGATTTTTTTTCAGAGCCTGCAAGAAGGCGAGGCAGCAGCTGGAGGGTATACACAAAACTCTTTTCTGTCCTTAAATAGCTGTGTGTTTTCCTAGGGTGACCTAATAGCCAGAGCGGAGAACACTGTGGCAAAGTCCTTAGTCATTCATTCTGAGCTACTCATTTGTTCTGGACCGAGACTCAGACTCCCTGCATTTTCAGTTCAGAACACTCTGTCTCTTCTTGCTCTGCATGTGCTTAGTTACCAAACAGGCTTTGAAAGTCCTTTTTCCTACTGTCTTTGGCATGACTGACTTTTTCATTTCTTGAGATTGACACCAAGTCAAGAATATCAGATTCTTCAAAAATGACCACCACACTTTGGCTTGGATGGTTTAAGAATGTGAAGGAAGGAAGGATGCAGATAAATAAATTAGGTCCCTTTAAGTTAATATTGAGAGGTAAACAGAGGACTCTTCTAGCCTTTGTTTTGTTGAGAGAGCATATATATACACCACTGTTGAGTGTAAATGAGATGATAAATGTAAAGTACTTAACACAATGTCTAGCACACAGGAAGCATCCAATATATGGTTGCTGTTATCTAAACACATACTGTACAAAGAGGTTGTATAAGTTCAGTAAAATAACAGGTGTAAAGCACTAACAGTGCCACAAACACGGCAGATGCTGAAACCCCCACCGCTGTTGTGTGATGGTGTTGGTAACGGGCAGGAGGCATCTGTGATGACAATGAGCTCCCATTCCTCTTCTGTCAATAGTTACCCGCCTTTGATGGGATGTGAGAGGATTAAGGAGGTAAAGTTATTTATTTAAACACATTTCAACAACCAACAATAATTGAAATGCAGCCCAAACCCTTTCTTTGCATTTCTTGAGGATCATCAAAGGCGGTCTCCTGTCTACCTCACTGCATCCCCCTCCGCCTCCCCTCCAGCTCATTCACACCCAGAAGCTGCCCCCAGGCTTGCCCTTTTCAAAATGTAACCCAAGTTCCCTCTCAACACAAGCCTTAACAACTTTTGGCTTCTCTCTTTCATTAGATACATTGTTTTAGACTCTTCTCAAACTAGCAAGACTCTGCCTGTCAGGAGTGACAAAATGGGAGAAACTAAACAGGCAAATACAGGACTTGGTATAATTTCATTATAATTTAATTTCCTCATCTGCAAAAAAAGGATAAAAATGGTCCCAGTATATGGGTCTTTATGAAGATTAAATGATATATTATTTTAAAAAATGAGATATTGTTTCCAGTACAGTGTAAGAACTTAATAAATGTCAGCTTTTTAAAACAAACTTCTGTTAGTTGCTTGCTTCATTAGTCCTACACACACACACACACACACACACACACACACACACACACACACACGTGCATGCAGTTTCCCCTGGTCAGCATTGATACCACTGAAAAAGGAGGAAGAGCCATATAATATCTCATGGACCTGGGTAGTGTCTGAGATCATGTGAAAGGCTCAGGTTCAATCAGAGGGATTTGTACCATCAAACTTACTGGACAGGTAAAAATGAGTATTATTTTTAATATATTCTTTCCCTTGACTAAAATTCTACTTGTGGTGGAAAATGGGGCAGTTGTTATTTATCTTGGTTTCATTGTTTTTAACTCCTAATTCACATGGAAATTATAAACAACATAACCTGTTTAAAGTACAAATATTCATTTACATTATTGTTCTCTCCTCCTTGACCATTGCCACAAAAAGGTGGGTACTTGCCCTCTAAATGTTCCTGAAGCCCAACTGGTCTTTGTCCTAATCCATCAGCTCTCAGGACATTTCCCTTTCAGTGAATCAGACATCCTTTTTTACAGATTTTTCACATTTACTTTTATGAGTAACTTGGTAATGTGTCGCAATAAATGTCTTTTTTCTTTCAACAAAGAGAGGCATTTATTCAAGCAGCTAAATATAGTAATTACTCAATATACTTTCCTCCCTCCCACATACTTTTAGCAAAGAAAATGTGTACTGTGTCACAGACACAAAGCAATAGGATATAAATGATGTTTATTTGACCTTGGGCTAGATAGTAAGGTCTCAAAGCCTCAGTTTGCTCATCTGTAAGTATACAGTTTGCTCATCTGTAAGATGACAAGAGTATCTTCTTCAGTATGGTGATTATGAGAATTAAAGTAGATAATATGAATATTTAGTACAGTCATGGTTTTGCTTTAAACAACTGATTATCTTTTAAAGATATTCAAGTCATCAGAAAGAAAACCTTCCCATTTGCTCATACAGTTGTCATGAACTTACCCATGCAGTTTCCATTTCCTGTGCTCTACTCCTTTGTGTAGATCTAGGTAAAGCTGAAGTAGAGCTTAGGGCCATCAAGTCCGTGCAGCTCATCTAAGCCCGCAGTAGGAGCGTGAGTCAGAGCCAGGTCCAGAAGTGAGATCTCTAACTTTCAGTAGAGATCCCCTAAACTTCAGCACACTGCCGTTCACCGCTTACAGAGGCTACTGAGTGGAGATGTAAGCAAGTGAGCACTTCTTATTCTTGAGCATTAGTGACCTCTTGGCAACAATAATGCCAATGACTCACTAAAGGGAAAGGACCTCAAACTGCTTCTCCAGCAACTAGAAAAAGCTTTTATTTTAGAGGAAGCTCTCCAGATGTGGGGTAGCACAGGGCCAAGGAACCAAAGTAAATAGTTCACAAAATGATCAAATTCATCCTCCTGACCTTATCAACAACTGCTTTACATTTGCTAAAGTTCCAGAATATAGATTAGACACTTTGGGAGTACACTTCTTAAAAATGTTTTTTTCTGATTTTCAATGAAACATATTCATTGTAGGATAGCTGGAATGAAAAAATATTTTAAAATTCTAAACCGTAAACCGTACATCACCCTACACTTTATAGACAACCGTTCTTAATATTTTGGTATGTTTCCTTTGTCTTTTTGCATCTATAAGTACACATATGAGATATATATGTATGTATATATACACACACACACATATATATTATGAAAAAGCTTTAAAAAAAACCCTGAGTTTGAGTGGCTGTATAATAGTCTATCATATGACCAATCCACAATTTATTTAATCTACACTTCAGATCATAAAATCCCATTGCAGGGCTCCCTCTCTAAAAAAAAAAAAAAGAATTGCATCTCCGGTAGTCCCTAATATATATTATTTTCCTGGGGAGACAATTCAATCTTTTTTTTATACAAGGGGTGGGTCAAGTTCTCTAAATAGTTAGAGACCAAAGGATGCCTTAATGGTTTAAATACCTGAAGTGGCAGATATATAATAAATGACAGCAAATAAGAACTTTGACTGAGTCTCTGTTTTTCTCAGACTCTAAAATTTGGCTTGAAGGGGGTCACATAGTGACTGATGTGTTTGCCTATGGAGATACACACTTGGTAAGTTTTTACCTTGTTCCTGTATTTAGTTTTTCACTCCCATGTTCCCATAGGATCCTAAAGAAGTAAACGCACTGTTGGTGAATGGATTTGTTCATTTGATAAACTGAACTACTACCATGTGTTGCTATTCCCTTTGGCCACACTGAAATGCAGTCAAATGAATTCTCATTTGAGAAATCTATGTTTAAAGTTGAATAAAAGGAATTTTCAAAGTAATTTAAAGGTAAACTCTTCCTGCCAATCTAAATGTACCTAGCTCTTTTATTTTTAAAGGTGGGGTGTCAATTGATTTTCTTCTATCAAAAATATTTTTCTGGCATCATACCAGTTTGCCCTGAGCCAAGTCTCATGCCCTGCCAACCCCAGCTGTGAGCTCTGCCTGGGCCTCTAGGAAGGGTTTTTGAGAGACCTGCTTACCACCAGTCTCAGGATTCATGTTACTTAATGGCTCAGTTGGGGATGAAAATAACTGACTATAAAACACTAAAAACTGGAGCATCTCAGTATCCTTATCCAAAGTACACCAGAGAAGCCATGTACTGAGCCACACTGCATTCTGCTAGGGTGGGTGCATGTGGGTGTCTATGGATTAGACTTTAATGAGGGCAAGTGGAAATAAAGTGGAACTTTGCAGGGAGATAGGAAGAGAAGGTCAGAGGGGATAAGGAAGAACATCCAATCCCTTAACTTTGTGCTTGGGGTTTTCTTTTTTGAATATGAAAGAGCCAAGGAGAAGATAGGAGAGAACACACCTCACAGTCCCCTTGGGTTTTGTTCTTGGGTTGCAAAGATAAAATCAGTCCTGAAATCCATTTCTCCACACTGATTCTTTGAAGGGTATTTTTATGCTAAATTCTGCCATGTGTGGCTTTCCAGAAGCCACAGGACCCTGTCTCCCTGGGACTGCTCCAGATGACTTTCAGCTGCTTGTACAGTCACCCACTGTTCCTCAGCATGGAGCCATCCCAAAGCCTTCTCTCCAGGAAGGAGAGGTCCTGATACAAAGTCTGGCCTAAGCACCAAGTGGTTGTCATAAACTTTTTGTTTATCTCCTGCTCTTTCCTGTATTTGATAGTCCTCACTTCGTTATGTGAAAGTTAACCTCAGACTTTCCTCCTTCCTCTATCTCATTACTAAGAGAATGCCTGGCACTCCGAAGGGCAGAAGCAGAGACAGCAGGGGCTTGTGGGTGTGCCTGAGGATTCTGGGCTTCAGGCGCAAAGCAAGAGTAAGTCTTCTGCTATGATATCCCAATTGGAATGTACCAAAGAGATTCCTTTTTGTTAATACACACACACATACACATACACACACACACACACACACACGCACACACACATCTTCAGACCTCAGTAGCTGGTAAGAAATAGAACCTGCTGATGCAGCCCTTTGTAACAGTAGCATAGACTACTCTCAGTGCAGAGGGTGAATGAGCTCAGAACAGCCGGTGGATTTATGCAGTTTCTGAGAACCACAATGGAAGCTTCTGACTTGAGTGCCAAAACAGAGGGTTTCTTTTCTTTCTTTCTTTGCCTCATAATGATCACTCCCAGCATATAAATGGTCCTAGCTGACATCACTGATTCAGAGAGCCAACTTTGGAACAAGAGGCATGACTTTGATGACTCATTTGAATCCAGAGAATATATTCAGGCCCTATTTACAAAACTGTGTGACATAAATACAATTGCACAGACCAAAAGATTCAGCCCTCATCAAGACTTATTCATATCTATCATATATATATGATAGATATAACTATTTTTAATTGCTGTATTCTAGAATTATACTACCTCAATACTCCTTAAGTGATATGAAAGTACTCTAGAATTGGGGTACTTTAAAATGTGTTATTTTGTTCCCTTTGAAAGCCATAGAAAACAGCTTCTCATTATAAGGGAGTAGTGGTTACCTGTTCCACATGGATTGTTTTTATCCAAGACTGGTCAACTCTTCAAACTTCTTTTCCTGTTCCTGGACAATGGGCTCAGTAATTCTATTTTTCTATAGAAAAAGCCCTCATATATTTCTGTATACATAGTTTCAGTGAAAGTCACAGAGCATTTGGATCTCTATTGCAAAAGTGCAAATGTAGAGATAAGAAAGCATCTTACATTCTTTGTTTGGTTGATGGGGTGGGTAGTAGACAGCCAGACAGTCGGAGTCTGCACACCAGAACTGGGTTTATTACCAAGCAATCTGGAAAACATAGCAATAAACTCTTCCTGGAAACTTCAAGTCACATGCCAAGAAATCCTGGAATGAGAAAAGGGTAAACTTAGCAGCAGTGACTCTTGTTAGATCTGCTGGTACAGGTAGAATGACAAAAAAGGAGAATGTGTTTCAAGAGTTACTTTTTCATAGAAATAGTCACCATCAAAGAAGTAGGCATAAAAAGATATGTATGTACATTTCATTTCCATTCATTATAAAGTTCAAAGCAGACAAAACAACTCTATCTTTAAGGGATACACACATAAGTGGTACGATGACAGAGAAAAATGAAGAAATAAATACAAAGGTCAGTGTGGTGGTTCCCAGGAGGAGAGGGGTGGGGATAGGTTATGACTGAGTAGAAACATAAGGGGGTTTCTTGATTACCAGTTGTATTCTATTTCTTAATCTGGGTGGTGGCTATTAGAGGGGTTTGCCATATAATTATTCATTAAATGATTCATGTATATTTTGTACATATTTTTCTAAGCATGTGTTTTATTTCATAATTTTAAAAAGAAGTATGGAAATAGAAGGCATGTTATCATCCATAGGAAGATAAGCACTCTCTCAAGGATGACACTCGGGCACCACTGCCTGTTTAGTGACTGACATACTCTGGGTTGTACAGAAGTGGAGGGCTCACTCAGAGAATTAGAGGCTGAGGGTGCCACTGACCTTGATGCTGCCTTCTCTATGGCATTCCTGAGACCAAAGGCAGCTGGCAGGAGAAGGGCTGGGCAAAAGGTGGGGGAGGGTGGAAAGGAGGCAGAAGGCACACGCAGACCCAGGAGGCCAGAGGTCAGAGTGGGAGCCGAAGGTCAAGTAGGCAGAGCTACCAGTGATAAGAACAAGTTATGTGTCCAAACTAGGCATGCAAACAGAGGTCTAGACATCTACAAATATTGGCAAGCTTAGGGCTCAGGAAATGTGAGGCCTAGTCTCCTGGCATGGTCCCAACTGAGATGGGGAGGGAGAAACAGGTGGGAACTTGAAATTATACACACCTACTGTGATGGCAGCAGCCCTCGGGGTCCCAGGGGAAGGCGCTGTAAGAAATGACAGAGTACGTGACAGGGCTGTTAGCCTCAGCAGCCATTCATTCAAATACTTACTCAGAGCCTACCATGGGCCAGATGCTCTCCTAGGAATTGGAAATCCAGTGTAAACAAAATAGTCCCTGTCTTCCTGGAGTGTGCATTCTAAGAGACAGTGAAGGAGCAAGAGAGACAGATGATAATTAAACAACTAAGCAGGTAATTGTACACAAGGCTATCAAAAAAAATAAAACAATGAAGAATGGCTTGGGGAGGGAGCAGTAGGGCAGTACTCAAGAATGATGAGAATTGTCTCCTAGAGAACGAGCAAGTAGAAAGATCATGAGACGAGGTGGAATCAACAGTCTGAAAGGAGCTGTCAAGTGCAGAGAGGCCTGTGATTACAGCCCGTCTGTGGAGCATGGCTCAGGGCTGTGACTCTGGCTACTTGGCAAACTGGGAACATCAGGAGCAGCGCAGTCCTTAGGGGCTGAGGTACCTGACCCATTATCAGAATGGGGGCCTAGGCTTGAGCATGACTCCAGGTGGGGCCGACCTGGAGCTTGAGCCTAAGAACATGCCAGAAATCAGAGACAGGACATGGAACCAGAAAGTTGTCCATTTGAGACACACAATTCCATTTCTGGAGCCAGTTGCCTTTCCCTCAAGGAAGCCCCAAATCTGTTTGGAACTTTAACTGTGGTGTATAGCTTACTGCTCAAAGCACATCCAGGCACAGCAAAGCTGAAGAATGCTACTGGATTCTCTCTTGGCTGTGGAGGGGCTCCTGTACCTGTGCAGGGGACTACCAATCATGTATCACAAAGCTTTTTTCTGGTATAGAAGAATGGAATCATATACACATTTTTAAAAAGTAAATTAAAA